ACAATAATGCAGTAGTCTGCATAGCAGTAAATCTTCTATTTTTTGTGTAAATAAAAAATCAAAATAGAAAGCAAGAGTAATATAAGAGGGGCCTGGAGACATGACTAATAAACAGAGGATGTTAGTTTAGTGCCAAGCATGTCTGCATTGTTTATTCTAGACCCTATTTTGAAATTGGCATCTTTTTTAATTTGTGTGAAATTGGCTAAATTGCCAATTTCTGACCACTTTATTGGGTAGTTGAAATCTGTAAATGGGCAGTTTCTTGTAGTCAATTGATAGAAAAAAATGGAGTTCTAAAGAAATAGCTATGAATTTGGTTGACTGGACCAATGGAATTGGCCGAAAATAGGGCTCAAAGTCGGTGAAATCGCTGAGATTGCTAACTTCATGGGAGTATAATTCCGTAAGTTTTCAATCCGATTTCGTACTTTTGGTGCCATTACCATCGGGGAAAGATTCTCTTGTCATTTCATGAGAATTTTTTTTTTCCCAAAATTTTGCGACACCAGGAGACACTTCAGGATTTGGGGTTGCAACAGTCAAAGGGTTAATATATGTTATTTAGGTTTGCATACTGTGTGGAGAGGGTCATAAGTCTGAGTGGTTGGTAAACAAGTATATCACTAAGTGAGGAGAGCCTTCACACACACACACACACACACACACACACACACACACACACACACACCACACACACACACACACACACACACACATGCGCACGCACGCACATACGCACACGTGCGGGGGGCCTAGTGTCTAATCAACATGTGCCTAGGACAAAATGGTAACTAACGTATGTACCAATGACGAAATGGTAACTAACACGCATGCACACGCACATATGTATATGCAGAGCAGGGGGCCATAAGTACAATTAGAGAATACTGGGAACGTTATTGGTTCAGGATGTTCATTCTTGAATTGGCAGATATAAGAAATATTGCTTCAACAGTGGTAGAAGTCTTCATGGGGGGGGGGGCAGCATTGTGCAATTACCTACAGAAAGTGTCAGATCAGCCAGGTTGAGGGCTATATAGGCCTGCAATCTGCTGGCACCAACAGTCAGGTTGACCGGGCATTGAACAAGGAAGCTTGGCTTTGGGATTATCTTTTCGAGTAGAATGGAACTTGACTGTTAGCCCTCAAGCTAGATAGAAAAAAATAAATTATGCACAATTTTATGGGTCATAAAACTTTACTTTTTCTAATAAATTGGGAAGATGTAGAATGCTCTAGTTATCATCAGATGAAAGATTAAGGGCATTTCAGCGATAATGTCAGTAGATTCCATAAAAAACAAATGTTGAAGTTAGTATTTTTTTTGGGGGGAGACAATTAAAAACAAAGCTGTAAACAATATCGCAAATCCTCCCTGGGTGTTTGTAGAACCATCATTCCTCAATAACGTGTGCAAAAATCATGACAATCCTATTAATACAGTGGACCCCCGCTTAACGATCACCTCCCAATGCGACCAATTATGTAAGTGTATTTATGTAAGTGTGTTTGTACGTGTATGTTTGGGGGTCTGAAATGGACTAATCTACTTCACAATATTCCTTATGGGAACAAATTCGGTCAGTACTGGCACCTGAACATACTTCTGGAATGAAAAAATATCGTTAACCGGGGGTCCACTGTACTTATTGCAGAAAAAGGAAAACAGTGTCAACTTATTTCTGAGTTATTATTTTTTTTGTTTGGTGAGAAACTAGGGTTATAGCCATGCCAAATCTCAGCGTGTTGCACTCCTCCTTCCTTGTTGACAGCCTGCAGGCTACTAAGGGAGACACCATGTTCTACACTTTAGCCAGCACAGAAGTTGTGATGTATTTAGAATGAAACAGTCATAAAAATTGTAATTTTTGGAGGAAAAAAAAAAAACCCACTAATTGCTAACATGTATTTTTGATGACAACAAGAACAAAAAATAATACATTTAATGAAAAACATACTTAGAAATATGATAGAAAGAAGCCGATTACATCAAAATGTTGCCAGAATTTTGCACTATTTTTCAGTAAGAAAACATTTTTTTTCCATAATTTTTAATCTTAACCCTTTCAGGGTCGTGAGGCCCTCTCCTAAACTTGTTCTCAGGGTCGAAAATTTTTCCAAAAAATAAAATATTTTTTCTTTTGAAAAGATAAGAGAATCTTTTCCTGATCATAATGACACCAAAAGTATGAAATTTGATGGAAAACTTACGGAATTATGCTCTTGCGAAGTTAGCAGTCTCGACAATGTTTACGCATCGGCGATTTCGCCCAATTTGAGCCCTATTTTTGGCCAATTCCAGTGTACTAGTCGACAAAAATCCTAGCTATTTCACTAAAACTTCATTTTTTCCATCGAATGAGTACAAGAAACCACCCATTTACCGATTTCAACTATCCAATAAAGTGGTCAGAAATTGGCAATTTTGCCAATTTCACACATTTCAAAAGATGCCATTTTCCAAATAGGGTCCAGAATAAACAAGACAAATTCCTGGCACTAAAATAGCATTTCCTCTGTTCATTAGTCACATACCCAGGCTCCTCTTACATTTCTTTTGCTTTCCACTTTGAATTTTTATTCTCACAAAAAACAGAAGATTTTGTTATGTAGACTACTGCATTAGTGTAGAAATGGTATAAATAATATCACCGCACTTGTGAAAGAATATTAGACTTGCCAGTTGACATGTATTGGACGCTTGGCATGATTTGTTTACTTTAGAACTTCGGCAAAAATTGAACATTTCTGCTACTTTGAGCACAATTTCAAGGTACTTTTCATTGTGAAACCAGTCAAAATCATCTCATTTCTGTAATATGTCTTCCATTCTATATAATGAGACCAGGAAAAGTAGAATACAGCAATAAGTACCATACAAAAATACAGTGCAAAATCGGTTTTAAACCAAAAATACGGTCAGTGTTTTTTTTCTCGTTACGCACTGTGTGCTGCAAGATTTTTTTTATACTGTGCACACTGACCCCACAGACCCATTCTTTCATGTGTAGGCCTACCAGCTTTCTCTCGCTAGAATTTATACGTACTAGTACGTCAACCCTAGTGTGTAAGAAGTACTAGTACGTCGGAAACCCTGAAAGGGTTAATTTCCTGATCACTAAAAAATGGCTGGCCCCTCCCTTAATGACCCAGGTGATTCCTCCAAAGATATACTGTTTTGATTAGAATATTGTTGAATACTGCTTGCACCCTCTTATGTATCAAATGACAAGAGCTTTCTATAAAAGACAGTTCATCACATGTTATTAAACTATTTTACCTATTAGCAGCTACATGAGCAGAGTTATACTTAATGCATATACTGGTACAGTATTTATTCCATAATATATAGACTTTAGCTTACAATGTACACTAGGAGAAAGCTTGTGGTTGTATTTCACTCATGACAGAAAGTGCAGAGGATCAGGTGGCACAGTTTAAAGTACTGTTCAAAACACAAAGGTTTGAAAATAAGAATTGGCAGAGAAGAATTGTGCAATCTGTTAAGTGGTGTATATTGATGAATGTAGTAAGATGTTTATAAAGAGCATTTCAGATGAGAAGTTTCACATCACATCAAGATCATGATAGAAGAATAATTTTAACATTGTAGCAAAATGCATTGTTTCTAAATAAGTGGGTAAATGAAGTTATACAGTATATTGCCTGCAATCACAATTAAATTTCATCATTCCTCTGTGTAATATCTTTTAAAAATGTCTTTTTAGTAATTTTGTTATAATAGACTTTAAATGTAACAGTTATGTCCATGGTTCAGACTATTAAAATTCTTTGTTAAATGTATGCCGAAGCTTAGTTTATTAACCCTTTCAGGGTCCGTCCCGTAGATCTACGGCTTTATGGTGAGTGTCCAAACCGTAGATCTACGCCATGAGCTCAGCTCACTCTGATAAACTGTGAGTGGTACATTTGGGCCTAGATATGAGAGAATACATCTATGTGGTATGTGTGCACCACATAAAACAGATCCTGCAGCACACTGTGTATAATGAGAGAAAAAAACTGAAATCATGATTTTTCGATTAAAACAGCAACTTTGCAGTGTTTTTTCGTATGTTTTTTTATAGTTGTATTTGCGATTTCTTGGTCTCATTTGATAGAATGGAAGACATATTTCAGAAATAGGGATGATTTTGATTGGTTTTAGCACTGGAAATGGCTTGAAACTGAGCTCAAAGTAGCGGAAATGTTAAATTTTTGCCGATATTCAAGAGTAAACAAACGACCTCACACGTCTAATACACGTCAGCTGGTGGGTCTAATATACATTCACAAATATGGTGATGATATTTATACAATTATTACAGTATTGCATAGCAGTAAATCTTCTATTTTTTGGTGTGAATAAAAATTCATTATGTGAATAAAAAATCAAAATGGAATTTATTTGTAAACCCTCAAAACATGACTAATGAACAGAGGAAATGTTAGTTTAGTGCCAGGAATGCCTACATTGTTTATTCTGGACCCTATTTTGAAATTGGAATATTTTGAACTTTGTGTTAAATTGGCCAAATTAACAATTTCCGATCACTTTATTTTGTAGTTGAAACAGTTGACTTGGCGATTTCTTGTGCTCAATCGATAGAATAGAAGTAATACTAGTGAAATAGCTAAGAATTTGGTTGATTGGAATAATGTAATTGGCCTAAAATGGGAGTCAAAGTCGGCAAAATCGCCAATTTGTAAATATCGCTGACACATCAAAATTCGCGAGAGCATAATTTCGTCAATTTTCCACCAAATTTCGTACTTTTTGTTTTATTACCTTCACAAAAAGATTCTCTACGATTTCATAAGAAAAAATAACAAATTTTTTTTTTTGAAAATTCTTGGACACTGGTGCGTGACTCCAGATTTGGGCCTTGGACCCTGAAAGGGTTAATTGTAATATTCATAGTTACATAGCCTAAATAGCACAACTCTGTTATTTGCTTACTATTTATTTTTAATCTCTCGAATTTTATTATTTATAGACGAAAGCGCAGGAGTGGAAGCCGCAGCCCTAGTCGTAAACGAGGTGAGCGTGTCCACAGACGATCTCCTACTCGTGCCCGTCATCCGTCACCTCGCCGTGCTCCTGCATCTGGTGGCTTAGCACATGACAACAATATGAGCTCAACAAGCTTATTTGCAGAGCTTGTTAAGAGTAGAAAAAACAGAGAACGCATCTTGGCTCTGATGACTAAGGAGGGGGAAAAGACAGAGAAAGGTAAAGAAAATGTGGAGCCTGAAGGAGGTGGATCTGCCTCAGGTCCAGATACCCCAGGTCCTACCCCTGCACCATCTGCAATTCCTAATGGAGCAGCCAAAGTTGAAAATAATGTGACAGTGGCAGCAGCAGCAGCAGCAGTAGTAGTGGCGGCAGCAGCAGCAACAGCAGCAGTTGCAGTGCCATCTACAGCAGTAATGTCAGCAGCACCTACAGCATTGATAGCAGTGCCTGTAGCAGTGACAACAACAACACCTTCTGCAATGACAGCAGCAGCACTAACAACAACAACAATAACAACCACAACCAGCACAACCACATCACTGTTAACAGCAACATCATCAGTATCAACTGATCAAGAAGAAACGTCCAATCATTCTTATCAGTCAGATCAGCCAATAATTAGTACCCATCAAACTTCTGACACTGGAAAAATTGACTTCAGGAAAGTTTCAGTACCAACTAGTCTCACAAAACTACCAATGCCACCAGGTATTAATCTGGAAGACATTGATTCTCCTACGTCTCCAAGTACACCCCCAGAACCAAAGCCTACAAGAAAAAGTATTATCACAGATCTTCCTATGCCACCAAGTAAGAAATAATTTTTGTCTTATTATTTTTGAGTAACATTTGTATATACAGTAATTGACAAAATGCACTTTGTGTCTAAAAGTCTGCTGCATTTAATTTTTTCTTCTAGTGATTGCAGGTACAGAAGAACTTTCACCAGATGAGGATGCCCTGAGTACTCCACCCCTCTCCAGGTTGGCTCCTCCTAAACAAAGACCTACTGCAATGAGACCCAAAATTTTAAATGCCAAACGGCAAGACCGCACATCTCTTGAGGACTGGAGTGAACGCTGTGTTGAAGTGTTTGATATTATTGCACAAATTGGAGAGGGAACTTATGGGCAGGTGTATAAAGCAAGAGCTAAAGATAAGAAAAGTAAGTGAAATTAATTTTATTTTTTATTCCTAAAATCAAATTTCTATCTTTTACATTCCAATGATATTAACATCAGTCTTTATTTACCACAATTTTAAGAATTCCTTCTTACTGTGGCAGGAGTGCTGGTCTCCCCTTTCTGTTTCATAAATATTTAATTTGGCAGGTAAATTTCATTATGTACTTTGCTTTGTAACTCCTACTAGTTCTTAATATTGTAATGTTTCCTCTCCAATTCCTCCTGGAAAGTGGGTTACAATCTACTGATGGGACGATATCAAAATTTTTGCTGGATACCCATACTCAATTTTAGACCAGCATGATGCCAAAAAGTGGCCCAAAAAGAAAAACGAAAGTTTTCTCTTTTTTAAATTTAGTAATTTATACAGGAGAAGGGGTTACTAGCCCCTTGCTCCTGGCATTTTAGTCGCCTCTTACAACATGCATGGCTTACGGAGGAAGAATTCTGTTCCACTTCCCCATAGAGATAAGAGGAAATAAACAAGAACAAGAACTAGTAAGATAATAGAAGAAAACCCAGAGGGGTGTGGGTGTGTGTATATATATGCTTGTACATGTATGTGTAGTGTGACATAAGTGTAAGCAGAAGTAGCAAGACATACCTGAAATCTTGCATAATTATGAGACAGAAAAGAGACACCATCAACCCTACCATCATGTAAAACAATTACACGCTTCCGTTTTACTCACTTGGCAGGACTGTAGTACCTCCCTAGGCGGTTGCTGTCTACCAACCTACAACCTCAAAATTATATGATACCCATCAATAAAACCAAAATTCTCTGATACTTTCAAAATTATCTAATACCCATTGATACTCAGTTTTAGGCTGATGCAGGTACCAATAAAGTTAGCCAATACGAATGCTGTGGCACCTGTTTCAGAATCTCTTCCATAACCAAGAGTGTTGCAGAAAGTAATTAAGATCCAAGAAACATGAGACTGGTTTTTTCCTCTGCATGTAACTGCAAGAAAGAACCAAATAAATTTTCATACTCTACTAGATTAATTGAATGAACATGAATATTGTATGAATGTCAGCCTTAACCCTTAACCCTTTTAGGGGCCAGAGGCCAAATTTCGAAGTGTGCACCAGGGTCCAAGAATTTAAAAAAAAATTTTTAATTTTTTCTTATGAAATGGTAGAGAAACTTTTTCTGAAGGTAATAAAACAAAAAGTACGAAATTTGATGGAAAATTGACGAAATTATGCTCTCGCGAATTTAGATGTGTCAGCGATATTTACGAATCGGCAATTTTGACGATTTTGACTCCCATTTTAGGCCAATTATGTTATTCCAGTCGACCAAATTCTTAGCTATTTCACTAGTATTACTTATATTCTATCGACTGAGCACAAGAAATCGCCAAGTCAACTGTTTCAACTACGAAATAAAGTGATCGGAAATTGGTAATTTGGCCAATTTAACACAAAGTTCAAAATATTCCAATTTCAAAATAGGGTCCAGAATAAACAATGTAGGTATTCCTGTCACTAAACTAACATTTCCTCTGTTCATTAGTTACATTTTGAGGCTTTACAAATAAATTCCATTTTGATTTTTTATTCACACAATGTTGATGAAGATAGGGAAGCTGTGATTTCGTGTATAGGGCAAGGAGGAATAACATCTTGTAGGAGTGAAGAAGAGCCAGTTGTGAGTGTGGGGGAAGTTCGTGAGGCATTAGGTAAAATGAAAGGGGGTAAGGCAGCCGGGATTGATGGGATAAAGATAGAAATGTTAAAAGCAGGTGGGGATATAGTTTTGGAGTGGTTGGTGCAATTATTTAATAAATGTATGGAAGTGGGTAAGGTACCTTGGGATTGGCAGAGAGCATGCATAGTTCCTTTGTATAAAGGCAAAGGGGACAAAAGAGAGTGCAAAAATTATAGTGGGATAAGTCTGTTGAGTATACCTGGTAAAGTGTATGGTAGAGTTATTATTGAAAGAATTAAGAGTAAGACGGAGAATAGGATAGCAGATGAACAAGGAGGCTTTAGGAAAGGTAGGGGGTGTGTGGACCAGGTGTTTACAGTAAAACATATAAGTGAACAGTATTTAGATAAGGCTAAAGAGGTCTTTGTGGCATTTATGGATTTGGAAAAGGCGTATGACAGGGTGGATAGGGGGGCAATGTGGCAGATGTTGCAGGTGTATGGTGTAGAAGGTAGGTTACTGAAAGCAGTGAAGAGTTTTTACGAGGATAGTGAGGCTCAAGTTAGAGTATGTAGGAAAGAGGGAAATTATTTCCCAGTAAAAGTAGGCCTTGGACAAGGATGTGTGATGTCACCGTGGTTGTTTAATATATTTATAGATGGGGTTGTAAGAGAAGTAAATGTGAGGGTCTTGGCGAGAGGCGTGGAGTTAAAAGATAAACAATCACACATAAAGTGGGAGTTGTCGCAGTTGCTCTTTGCTGATGACACTGTGCTCTTGGGAGATTCTGAAGAGAAGTTGCAGAGATGGGTGGATGAATTTGGTAGGGTGTGCAAAAGAAGATAATTGAAAGTGAATACAGGAAAGAGTAAGGTTATGAGGATAACAAAAAGATTAGGTGATGAAAGATTGGATATCAGATTGGAGGGAGAGAGTATGGAGGAGGTGAATGTATTCAGATATTTGGGAGTGGACGTGTCAGCGGATGGGTCTATGAAAGATGAGGTGAATCATAGAATTGATGAGGGGAAAAGGGTGAGTGGTGCACTTAAGAGTCTGTGGAGACAAAGAACTTTGTCCTTGGAGGCATAGAGGGGAATGTATGAGAGTATAGTTTTACCAACACACTTATATGGGTGTGAAGCATGGGCGATGAATGTTGCAGCGAGGAGAAGGCTGGAGGCAGTGGAGATGTCATGTCTGAGGGCAATGTGTGGTGTGAATATAATGCAGAGAATTCGTAGTTTGGAAGTTAGGAGGAGGTGTGGGATTACCAAAACTGTTGTCCAGAGGGAGGAGGGAGGGTTGTTGTGGTGGTTCGGACATGTAGAGAGAATGGAGCGAAACAGAGTGACTTCAAGAGTGTATCAGTCTGTAGTGGAAGGAAGGCGGGGTAGGGGTCAGCCTAGGAAAGGTTGGAGGGACGAGGTAAAGGAGGTTTTGTGTGCGAGGGGCTTGGACTTCCAGCAGGCATGCGTGAGCGTGTTTGATAGGAGTGAATGGAGATAAATGGTTTTTAATACTTGACGTGCTGTTGGAGTGTGAGCAAAGTAACATTTATGAAGGGGTTCAGGGAAACTGGCAGGCCGGACTTGAGTCCTGGAGATGGGAAGTACAGTGCCTGCACTCTGAAGGAGGGGTGTTAATGTTGCAGTTTAAAAACTGTAGTGTAAAGCACCCTTCTGGCAAGACAGTGATGGAGTGAATGATGGTGAAAGTTTTTCTTTTTCGGGCCACCCTGCCTTGGTGGGAATCGGCCAGCGTGATAAAAAAAAAATCATGATTTTTATTCAAACCAAAAAATAGAAGATTTACTGTCATGCAATATTGTAATAATTGTATAAATATCATAACCACATTTGTGAATGTATATGAGACCCACCAGCTGGTGTGTATTAGACATGTGAGGTCGTTTGTTTACTCTTGAACATCGGCAAAAATTTAATATTTCCGCTACTTTGAGCTCAGTTTCAAGCCATTTCCAGTGCTAAAACCAATCAAAATCATCTCTATTTCTGTAATATGTCTTCCATTCTATCAAATGAGACCAAGAAATTGCAAATACAACTATAAAAACATAAGAAAAAACATAACACATGCTATTAATAATACGTACTATTATTATTTATAACATATATGTTATTAAATACATACATGTTAATAATAATACATGTTATTAATAATAACATGTACTATTATTATTTATAACATATGTGTTATTAAATACCACTGCCTCAACCGCTGAATTATTGTGAAATGTTTGGAAGAGCAGGGAGACTAATGTTCACTCCAGCATAAACAAAGTCACACTGACGATGTGTCAACCACTCCCTTGTATTTTTGTACAATTTCCTTCTTCAATTATATCGTATTTATATTATTATTATTATTATTAATTATTATTATATTATTATTATTATTATTATTTATTATTATTGTTATATTATATATATTATTACTAATTGTTATTATAGCAATAGCAGAAATGTTCGATTCTTTGCTGTGTTCAAGAGTAAACACATAATGTCACCGTCTAATACCTTTCCTAATAGCCATTCCAATATGCAATCATGAATGGGTTTACATTATTTATTCTGTAGTTTAATAGCAAATAATGAACAAACAAAACACTCACCACACTGAGTGGTGAGAGGGCTGGCTGCCAGTTGCGGGGGTCGGAGGGAGGGTAGTAGGGACTCGCAGTGGTGAAGTCTGTGGTATTTAATAACATACATTTTATTAACATACATGTTATAAATAACATACGTTGTTAAAGCATAACATGTCTATATTTAGCACAATTTACGATGTTTTCATGTATTTTATGATTATTCATGGTTCAACAAGTTAAGGAAGCAGTATTGTAATATATTACAATACTGTTTCCTTAACTTGTTGAACCTACAATATATTGGGGCACCAAACATTCATGGTTTTTCAACATTCGCGAGGCTCTTGATCCCCTAACCCTCGCGAATGTTGAGGGAGACCTATTAAACAACCACGGTGACATTATGTATCCCTGTCTAAGATCAACTTTTACCTGAAAGTAATCACCCTCTTTCCTATACACCCTAACCTGAGCCTCACTATCCTCATAAAAACTTTACAGCACTTAGTAACTCACCTTCTATTCCGTACACTTGCAACATCTGCCACTTTGCTCCTCTATCCACCCTGTTGTAAGCCTTTTCTAAATTCACAAAAGCAATGAAACCTTCCTTACCTTAATCTAAATATTGTTCACTTATGTGCTTCAATGTAAACACTTGGTCTAGTCTCATTGTTCATCTGCGATCCTGCTCTCTGTCTTACCTCTAATTTTTTCAATCATAAACCTACGATACACTTTACTAGTATACTCAGTAGGCTTATTTCCCTATAATTTTTACACTTGTCTACCTTCCCTTCATATAACGGAACTATGCATGCTCTCTGCCAGTCTCTAGGTTCCTTTCTCTCTTTCATACATTTATTGAACAGAAGTACCAGCCGCTCCGAAACTATATCCCCACCTGCTTTTAACATTTCTGTCATGATCCCATCAGTTCCAGCTGCTTTACCAACTTTCATTCTATTCACTGCCTTATAAACCTTTCCCATATATCCGGCTCTTCTTCACTCCTAAAAGATTTTATACCTCCCTGGCCCATGGCTAGGCTCCTAGAGTAGCAAGACTCGAAATTCATGGAAGGTATCCCGGGCCAAGGCAAGAAATCACTGCCTACCTCAACATTTAACAGTTCCTCAAAATATTCTTGCCATCTTTCCAATACCTCCAACTCCCCATCTACTGACTTCCCAAGTCTGTTTTTAACTGCTAAGTCCATTTGTTCCCTAGGCTTTCTTAACCTATTTTTCTCCAAAAATTTTTCTTATGCTCAGCAGAATTTGTTGACAGCACCTCAGTCGTATTATTTGCTATCCTTTTGCACTCCCTCACCACTTTCTTCACTTCTCATTTACTTTTCATATACTCCGTCTTTCTTACATCAGAGTATGAAACAGATTCCAACTGCACAATAGAGCGGAAAACTAATGTGAAGGACCTGGGAGTGATAATGTCAGAGGATCTCAGTTTCAAATATCACAACAATGTATCTACCACATCTGCTAGAAAAATGATAGGATGGATAATGAGAACCTTCAAAACTAGGGATGCTAATCCCATGATGATTCTCTTCAAATCGCTTGTTCTCTCTGGGGTGGAATATTGTTGCACACTAATGGCCCCTTTCAAGGCCGGTGAAATTGCTGACTTGGAGAATGTACAGAGAGCCTTCACGGCACACATAAGTATGATACAACACTTAAATTATTGGGAATGGTTGAAGTTCCTTGATTTATATTCCGTGGAATGCAGGCAAGAAAGGTACTTGATAATATACACTTGGAAAATCCTAGTGGGATTAGTTCCAAATTTGCACACAAAAATCACTCCTACGAAAGCAAAAAACTCGGCAGGCAGTGTAACATCCCCCAATGAAAAGCAGGGGCACCAAAAGTGTGCTAGGAGACAACATGGGATTATCAGTAAACCCCTAGCTGTTTTCAAGAAGGCACTGGACTGGTACATAAAGTCAGTACCTGACCAGCTAGGCTATGGTTTATACGTTGGTTTGTACATGGTTAACAATAACAGCCTGGTTGATCAGGCCCTGATCCACCGCAAGGCATGGTCACAGACCGGGCTGTGGGGGCATTGACCCTCGATACCCTCTCCAGGTATACTCCAGGTATCACTTCTGCTTTGTAAAAACCTCTCATAAGCTAACCTTTTCTCCCTTATCACACCCTTTACCTCATCCCACGAAACGCTCGTCTTTCCTCCCACACCCATCCTCCTACACCCATAAACTTCTGCCCCTCATTCTAACACTACCTTTTTTAAAGTCTCTCACCCCTCTTCAGCCCCCCTCCCCCCCCTCACTACCTATACTCTTGTCAGCACACCTCTCTCTCAATAGTTGCTTGTATCTCACCCTAACTTCCCCCTATACCTTGTTTGCTGGTAGAGGAACAACAGCTTGTTTACTTTTGTTAGTTAGACATACTGGTATGCTCAACATAGTCATCACCAGAGTAGTTAACCATGATACACTGTGTACCTTGCTGGCCTTAGATTTTTTCAGATGTCTGAATAAATGGAAGACCCAAAGAGTTGTGCTGAGATCAAAAATATTGGCAGGTGGCAGATTTGTGGGTACGAAAAAAATGTGCGTACTAGTACGTACGTCAGACATAGATAGCATATGTGTACAAGTATATCGGACCCAGGTTAAGAGTTAAATTATTACCTGCTGGAATTTTGGAAGTTCACAAAATATTCTTAATCTTTTTGTAATGTGCCATTTTCTTTTCTTGTATTGTACAGCATATTAATTTATTCACCACGACCCAAAAATTGAGATAGATGTTAAGAGTTTACTCTTCTCCTGAATTCTGAAGATTAGGTTCCCAAAGATTAGTGTGCCATATTGTTTATAATGTTTGTGGGATGGCATACCTGTCATACTCCATCACACAGGATGGGTTCTCAGATTAATGACTCCTCTGGAGCTGAGAGATATCAGTAAGGCAATGAGGGTATCTTCAAACATTCCACTATGGGTTCAGTAGCTTACAGGTTTCCTTCCAGCAGGGCTTGTGTTACCTTTACATGGGGAATATAGTGTGCATGCATGGTTGTCGAGTTTTTTTCTGTTGGACACCATTTAAACATCAGAAGAAGTACCATAGTTTGTGCACATGGAAATATGAAGATGTGCATATGACTTAAAAGAATTACATTTTTACTCAATAATTTTATTATTATTATTACAGATGATGAAATGGTTGCTTTAAAGAAAGTTCGCTTAGAAAATGAGAAAGAAGGTTTTCCAATCACAGCAGTGCGGGAAATTAAAATCTTGAAGCAGCTTCACCACAAAAACATTGTCAACCTCAAGGAAATTGTGACAGACAAGCAGGATGCTGTTGACTTTCGACATGTAAGTTCAACATCGTCTTTCATCTTTTGGGATAGGCTAAGGTTTCATTTTATGGTTTTATTTGCTAACATTAGTTATAAGATTAATACAGTAGACTGTTATATTACATGGTAGTTACATTCCTGAAAACGCTGTTAGGTAAAACTGTCTGAAGAACTTACGGGAAAAATAAGGTTATGTTCCTGGGAGCCCCCGAAAAGCCAAACAACTTTTTTGTTTAGACCAACAGATCTTACAAAAATAAGAGTGAATATGTAATTATAGTTTATTGTCATGATATATTATGTTTTTACTGCTTAAGACTGCAAATGCAACAGAAATTGTGGGTGCTGGTGTTTGTGGATGATTGTGAAGAGAGTGGAGATGCATGGTTTGGTCCTCCTGGGCTGAGGTGTATGGTTGTTGGCAGAAGTGGATGGTAGAGATTCTGGTACTAAAGTCGATGGTTGTATTGGAGTGTGCATAAATTCTGTAATGGATCTTTGGGCTCTTTTTACCCTGCAGTACATTATACAGCTGACGGTAAGGCATCATCAGCTGGTCTAGACCCCATTTCAAAGCACTGCTTCTAGATTTGTCAGGGTCCTCTTCAGTGAAAAGTCTGCAACTTTACCAGAAATATGAAACTACTCACATAATTGCTGTAATGTTAACTGTTTTTCTTTAGGTTGTTCTTCTGTTATCTGACTCCCTTGTATCTGTGCATCGAGCTCTGCCAACATTTCTTCTGGACTCCTGTCTTCATCTTCTAAGAGTTCATTCATATTTTCAAAACCATCGCCTGGTAATCTCCTTGCCAGCTGAACAATTTCCTGAATCTAACTCTCAAGCAAGAGAAACAGTGAAAGAATTAACTTTAGAAGGCCACAACTTTCCCCAGCTTGATTGAGGCACTTCATTCCATGCACTTACAGCATAGCTGATGGCATCTACAATGCTAAATTTATTCCAGATACTTTGTACTGCCAGGTTGGAGTTAGTCCATTGATGCATAAATTTTTTTTTTGTGTAGTTACACTTGAATGACTTAATAATCCCCTGATCCAGTGGCGGCTGCTGCGGCTGCTGCTGCTGCTGCTGCTGCTGCTGTGGCTGCTGCTGCTGCTGTGGCTGCTGCTGCTGCTGCTGCTGCTGCTGCTGTGGCTGCTGCTGCTGCTGCTGCTGCTGCTGTGGCTGCTGCTGCTGCTGCTGCTGCTGCTGCTGTGGCTGCTGCTGTGGCTGCTGCTGTGGCTGCTGCTGCTGCTGCTGCTGTGGCTGCTGCTGCTGCTGCTGTGGCTGCTGCTGCTGTGGCTGCTGCTGTGGCTGCTGCTGCTGCTGCTGCTGTGGCTGCTGCTGCTGCTGCTGTGGCTGCTGCTGTGGCTACTGCTGGTGCTGTGGCTGCTGCTGCTGTGGCTGCTGCTGCTGCTGTGGCTGCTGCTGTGGCTGCTGCTGTGGCTGCTGCTGTGGCTGCTGCTGCTGCTGCTGCTGCTGCTGCTGCTGCTGCTGCTGCTGCTGCTGCTGCTGTGGCTGCTGCTGTGGCTGCTGCTGCGGCTGCCGCCGCCGCCGCTGCTGCCGCCGCTGCTGCCGCCGCCGCTGCCGCCGCCACCGGCTTAAGCCAATGCCTTGACCTAGTGATGTCAGACGCATAACTGAAGGGAGGAGCAGAGCATCCGACCTAGAAGCACAAGCTAGTCAGGTCCAACTCACATCCACTAGTGTATTTATCCAACCTATTTTTAAAACTACACAACGTCTTAGCTTCTATGATGGTATTCGGGAGTTTGTTCCACTCATTTACAATCCTATTACCAAACTAATGCTTTCCTATATCCTTCCTGAATCTGAATTTTTCCATTTTAAAACCATTGCTGTGAGTCCTGTCTATGTTAGGTATTTTTAACACTATTTACGTCCCATTTATTAATTCCTGCTTTGCGTTTATACACCTCAACCATTTTTTTTTTAAACAAGTCGGCCGTCTCCCACCGAGAAAGGGAGACCCAAAAAGAAAGAAAATCCCCAAAAAGAAAATACTTTCATCATCATTCAAAACTTTCACCTCACTCACACATAATGACTGTTTTTGTACAGGTGCCCAGAATACAACAGTTTAGAAGTATATACGTATAAAAATACACAATATATCCCTCCAAACTGCCAATATCCCAAACCCCTCCTTTAAAGTGCAGGCATTGTACTTCCCATTTCCAGGACTCAAGTCCGGTTATATGAAATAACCGGTTTCCCTGAATCCCTTCACTAAATATTACCCTGCTCACACTCCAACAGCTCGTCAGGTCCCAAATACCATTCGTCTCCATTCACTCCTATCTAACACTCAAACATGCTTGCTGGATGTCCAAACCCCTCGCCCACAACACCACCTTGACCCCCTCCCTCCAACCTTTTCGAGGACGACCCCCACCCTGCCATCCTTTCCCTACAGATTGATACGCTCTCCATGTCATTCTACTTTGATCCATTCTCTCTAAATGACCAAACCACCTCAACAAACCCTCTTCAGCCCTCTGACTAATACTTTTATAAACTTCACACTCCGAATTTTCTGCATAATATTTACACCACACATTGCCCTTAGACAGGACATCTCCACTGCTTCCAACCGCCTCCTCGCTGCAGCATTTACAACCCAAGCTTCACACCCATATAAGAGTGTTGGTACTACTATACTTTCATACATTCCCTTCTTTGCCTCCATGGATAAAATTTTTTGCCTCTACATATACCTCAATGCACCACTCACCTTTTTTCCTTCATCAATTCTATGATTAACTTCATCCTTCATAAATCCATCTGCCGACACGTCAACTCCCAAGTATCTGAAAACATTCACTTCTTCCATACTCCTCCTCCCCAATTTGATATCCAATTTTTCTTTATCTAAGTCATTTGATACTCTCATCACCTTACTCTTTTCTATGTTCACTTTCAACTTTCTACCTTTACACACACTCCCAAATTCGTCCACTAACAATTGCAATTTTTCTTTAGAATCTCCCATAAGCACAGTATCATCAGCAAAAAGTAACTGTGTCACTTCCCATTTTGTATATAATTCCCCATAATTTAATCCCACCCCTCTCCCGAACACCCTAGCATTTACTTCTTTTACAACCCCATCTATAAATATATTAAACAACCATGGTGACATTACACATCCCTGTCTAAGACCTACTTTTACCGGGAAGCAGTCTCCCTCTCTTCTACACACCCTAACCTGAGCCTCACTATATTCATAAAAACTCTTTACAGTATTTAGTAACTTACCAAATATTCCATATACTTGCAACATCTGCCACATTGCTCCCCTATCCACTCTATCATATGCCTTTTCTAAGTCCATAAATGCAGTAAAACCTTCCCTACCTTTATCTAAACATTGTTCACATATATGCTTCAATGTAAAAACCTCTCCGCCAATCCCTAGGTACCTTCCCCTCTTTCATACATTTATTAAACAAAAATACCAACCACTCCAACACTATATCGTCCCCCTGCTTTTAACATTTCTGTCAAGATCCCGTCAGTTCCAGCTGCTTTACACCCCTTTCATTCTACGTAATGCCTCGCGCACTTTCCCCACGCTCACATCCTGCTCTTCTTCACTCCTAAGAGATGGTATACCTTCCTGGCCAGTGCATGAAATTATCGCCTCCCTTTTTTCGTCGACATTTAAAAGTTCCTCAAAATATTCTCGCCATCTACCCAATACCTCCATCTCCCCATCTACTAACTCCCCTACTCTGTTTTCAACTGACAAATCCATTCGTTCCTTAGGCTTTCTTAACTTGTTTAACTCACTTCAATTTTTTTCTTATTTTCATTAAAATTTCTTGACAGTGCCTCTCCCACACTATCATCTGCTCTCCATTAGCACTCTCACCACTCTCTTCACCTTTCTTTTACTCTCCATATACTCTACTCTTCGTATAACACTTCTGCTTTGTAAATACCTCTCATAAGCTACCTTTTTCTCTTATCACACCCTTTACTTCATCATTCCACCAATCACTCCTCTTTCCTCCTGCACTCTCCCTCCTATAACCACAAACTTCTGCCCCACATTCTAATACTGCATTTTTAAAACTATTCTAACCCTCTTCACCCCCCTCCCTCCCCACACTACTCATACTTGCACCAGCCCACCTTTCTACCAATAGTTGCTTGTATTTCACCTGAACTTCCTCCTCCCTTAGTTTATACACTTTCACCTCCCTCTTACTTTTTTGTTGCCATTTTCCTCTTATCCCATCTACCTCTTACTCTAACTGTAGCTACAACTAGATAATGATCCAATATATCAGTTGCCCCTCTATAAACGTGTACAAACTACTTTCATTACGTGCTATATCATACCTTGTATATTTATTTACCCTCTTTTTCATAAAATATGTATTAATTATTACCAAACCTCTTTCTACACGTAGCTCAATTAAAGACTTCCCATTTTCATTTACCCCTGGCACCCCAAATTTACTTACTACTCCCTCCACAACATTTTTACCCACTTTAGCATTAAAATTGAAAACCACAAGTACTCTCACACTTGGTTCAAAACTCCCCACATATTCACTCAACATTTCCCAAAATCTCTCTCTTTCCTCTATACTTCTCTCTTCCCCAGGTGCATATACGCTTACTATAACACACTTCTCACATCCAACCTTTATTTTACTCCACATAATCCTTGAATTAATACATTTATAGTCCCTCTTTTCCTGCCATAGCTTATCCTTCAACATTATTGCTACTCCTTCTTTAGCTCTAACTCTATTTGAAACCCCTGACCTAATCCCATTTATTCCTCTCCACTGAAACTCATGCACCCCCTTCAGCTTTGTTTCACCTAATGCCAGGACATCCAGCTTCTTCCCATCATAACATCCACAATCATCTCTTTCTTATCATTCGCACAACATCCACGCACATTCAGACTTCCCACTTTGATGATTTTCTTCTTCTTATTCTTTTTAGTAATTATTACAGGAAAAGGGGTTACT